TCCCTTGACTATCTGCAAGGACATGAGTCCATGAGCAGGGGTGTCTTGTCACGAGTATTCTGAGGAGTTTAATTAAACATGGCTATCAGAAAGCAACAGCCCCTGAATAAGCCGAGCAGCAGGCTGGGAGCCAGAACTCCTGGGTTCCGCTTCTAGCTATACCCCAAACTTCCTACAGGACCTCAAGCAAGTCACATTCTCTGTTCCTCAATCTGCCATCTGTAAAATCTGCCTTGCCAAGGTGCTGGATGGTTTAATTCATTATTTATTTTTAAAGGAGCAAGATTGGTTCCCATTTTCAATACAGGAAGGAAGGAGGATACAGGGAACTGTAGCCCTGCTAGTCTTACCTCAGGCCTGGGTAAGCTTTTTGAGAGAATTATCCTGGCGCATGTCCGCGAGGGGCAAGCAGGGGAGATTATGCATAGGGGCAACCAGCACGGGTTCATTCGATGCAGGTCCTGTCAGACCAACCTGGTGGTCTTCTATGACTAGGTCACAAAATCCTTAGATGCAGGGGTAGCAGTGGACATAGTCTTTCTAGACTTTAGGAAGGCTGTCGACACTGTCTCTCACCCCATTCTCAATAAAAAACTAGGAGACGGTGGCATTGATACCTACACAGTCAGATGGGTCACTAACTGGCTGGAGGGCTGCACCCAGAGTGGTGGTGGACGGGTCTTATTTGACCTGGAGGAATGTGGGCACTGGGGTCCCCCAGGGCTCGGTCCTTGGGCCTGCACTGTTCAACATCTTCATCAGCAACTTGGACGAAGGGGTAAAAAGCACCTTGCTCAAATTCGCAGATGACACTAAAATGTGGGGAAAAGTGAGGAATAGGCTGCAATCGGACCTAATGAGAACAGGATGGGTTTCAACACTGATAAGTGCAGGGTACTGCACCTGGGGAGGAAGAACCAGCACCATACCTACAGGCTGGGGAACTCCCTTCTCATCAGTGCAGATACAGAAAAGGATCTTGGAGTCATTATTGATGCCAAAATGAACATAGAC